GCTCTATACTTCTGTTGTGTCTCTGCTCAGTCTGTACAAGAAAAGGAAAGTCTCAACACATTATACTGTCAAATTCCTCTCAGTAATTCCAAAGCTTTTTCACCCTAAATTCTCAGCAGGTGGTATAAAAGGCATAAACTTCATGTTTGGACAAACCTTATATGTGTGTGTAAACATGTGAACAGCTTCTTATTTCTGTTCATAGAAGCTGACTCGGTTGACACTACAATGTTCACCATGGGATAGTGGAGGTGAAGTGAATGGCTCGTGGTCTGGCTGCGCTTTCTGTCCTGCGGCGACATTTTCAGTCACCACAGGACAGAACAGAGAGCTGGAGTTGTTGGTTTGATCCCTGATGTGAACTCAACATTGAGTCGGGGTGCAAAGTGCACCCACATGGGTCAGCCAAAGTTCTGGTTGTAGTTTACCATTTCTGTGGTGGCTAGAAACTAAATAACCCACTGTCTATTTTTCTCTTCCTTCCTTTTTAAAATCAATATATTTCCCTAATGTGGACGCAGTGTACTTTAGGAAATGCTCACAATGCTGAGAGTTGAGATGAACCTTGGAGGTTGTCTTTTTGACGCTACTTCAGGACTCACAAAGCCTGGAGTCATCTCTTCCCCAATCTTCGGTGTGCTTTGATTTTCTTCTCCTTGTGGCGTTTTCTATTTGTGCTATCTGTGAGGTAAAGAAATGGCAAAGTGGGGGGTGTATGGTAGGGGGAAACTGTGCTCTCATCCTGTTTTTAAACATGGTGCTCACAACAAGCACAGCCATTAGACAGACCTTTACACTTTTGCTGATGTCCTTTAGTCTCAAAGTGGTGGGATGAAGGATGGAGGACCCAAAATCTTCCCCTTTTGCCTGGTTCTCCTGCTCCTCTGCATGTGTGTGCATGAGCATGCATGAAAAAGGGTGCAAGATCAAGTGCCATGGGCTGCATTTTTATATTTTAGCCATATTTTTACCCTGGAACATGTATCCGAGTGTTTGTTTTATTGTTGTCTGTGTCCTCTTATGATGTCTGCTACCATGAAACCTCGGCAGAGGAGAGACAGCAGTGACACTTGTCTTGCTGAAGCACAAAATGAAACACAAGCTGAAGTCTCATTTCTGCTACTTTTGCTTTTTCTTGCTGTTGAGGTGATTTTGTATATTGCTCTCCGCGAACACATTAAGCTGGTATATATATATTGTTTGGGTGCCTTCAGGCTCCAGATCCAACATTGTAGCCTCCACATGCAGACTCTGAGGTAAGCAGTGAGCAAATCACTTTCCATTTGTTTTGTAATGTTGAGTATAGCTGCTTACATATTTAGTCAGGGAGTTCCATGTGTAGAGGAGGAAGTGACAGCAGCTACTTCAGGACCATGGAGAGCGTAACTCCCAGGTCAACAGCCTGAAGAGAAAACAGATATTAGCTTATTACAGGAGGTACACAGGCTGAAGTGTATGTATGTGTACCTCTTACACACGTGTGTGAAATGCAACAGTGGAACTGAGTGACAGGCCATGACCAGACAGGGAGATAAGTGATTCTCCAAGGGAGGTAGGGGGTTCAGCAGGGGGAATATGAGGAAGGCAGGATTGTAGTCAACACTCAGTGGCGTGCTCTTCAGCTAATGAGGGAGGCAAGGGGTCAGCTTCTAACTACACAAAGATAATGACCAGCTCCAGAAACCATGGCAACAGCAGCCATCCTCCTGCATGCCTCCCGCCTCCACCGCCTCACCACCCTCGCTGTGCTCACATCTTACATCACCCCCCACCCCCCAAAATGAATTTTCTACAGAAAAAAAAAATCTCACTTTGAGAAAAATCAATGCAGAGCTTTTTGTCCTTTTTGTCTTTAATAAGAGCCCAGACTTTGCATCTGCAGCCATACAGCCCGCAGACATGCATAAAACATGGCGCTGCAGCCCCCACCTCACAGCACATCAAGGATCCTTTTCTGCTCCTACTGTGGACAGGGAAAAGAAGTGCCACGTCGCCAACAGAGCAACACCTTACCCAAGAAAGGTGCACTAATTTCAGCTTGTGAAAGAGTGACGGAAAAGTGGGAGCAGATAATGGAGAGCGAAACGTGAGCTAAGCGTGGAGTCAAATTCACAAACTGAAAGACCGAAAATAATTTTTGAAAAGTCCCATTTGAAGTGTCGACATTAGATCATGTATTTATGAGCAGCAAAAATGGAAACAGGTGATCAAGTCTACTCTTAAGAGTACTCTGAATATTAGTGTGTGTGTGTGTGCGTGTGTTCGAGAGCGCGCTCATGTGAGTCTGCTTGAACTTCTGACAACATAATTACACACGAAGGCTGTGGATGAAGATGTAGCTTAGAGTCTGTCTATTTGAGAGTATGTGGTTAAGAAGCATGATATGAGCCTCAACACACACACACACACACACACACACACTGAGAGCTGCAGTAGTACATTAGCACCATGGACAGCAGCTGACCCGTCAGGGTCCAATTAGAGCTGCTCTGACCAGTCAGCCCAGAGTTTGGTGCAACAGCAGAGAAGACTCTCAGTTTTAATGAGGGATGGATGTGATGGTCTCACTCACTACTTGAGATCATGTCTGGCTATTAAAATCTCTCAGGAGGAAGTGTCTTCTGATTTGTTCTAACCATGTTTCTAAATTTATTCAGCAATTAACAAAGATAATCTGTCTTCTTGAGTTCTATGTTTTTTTTTATCTTTATACTTTAGTAGTTTGATGTAATATTTTACCCTATAATGACTTCAGAGCTGCAGTAACACTTAATAATTTGGACGTTGTGCCTTTTCAGAAGCAACATGTCTAACACGTGTATCTATGTTTTCTTGAAGCTGCATCTTACTAATGGGATCATCATGTCACATCTCCTCTGCAAGACAAACCTGGTTGCAACAACACAATTGCTATTTGAATTCTAATGATTGTTGATAACTGGTTAAAACCTGATCTCTTTGAATTGACTAAGATGTCAAAGACTACCACTAGATGGATACAGCCAAGGTCAACATGGATTACTACCATCTTAAAACAACTCTATTGTTCAAACTTTCACAGTGATTCAGATAAATCCCATTTTAAAAACTTGTACACAGCAGCCTTTGGGTATTTGTGTAGAATCCTTTGGTAACATCAGTAGCAGCAGTAGCCAGCTGTAAAACATTTAGGACATTCAGGCAGTTCCTGCAAGAAGTTCATAGAATTCCTGACAAATTAGTTGAGTGTTGGATGCTGTCTATCATGGTGCACTAAGATTCATAACTGGATGTAACTACTGTACCCACCACTGCACCCTGTATTCACTGGTTAACTGGTCATCATTAACTTCATGCAGACTCTCTCACTGGTACATTTTCATCTTTAAGTCACTTCTTGGTCTGCTGCCTTCATACATCTCCTCCTACATGTCTCTGCGTGAGTGCAGCTACAGCGTGCGCTCTCAGGACATTATTACATGCAGTGCACCCTCAATGAGGACTGAACTAGACAAAAGGATCTTCTCCTACTCCGCTCCTGTTTCCTGGATATCTTGCAACAAGATCTGAAGCTCTTGACCTTGACCTCTTAAGTGGCTCTTTAAGTTCATGGCAAAAACCAACGCAGACATGTTCCTGTTTTTAGTATTTTACGCCACGTTATAAAGCTGTTTTTGTTTAGTTTTTATATCATTTCTTCTATTTACTTTTCATTTTATATGCTTTTTATATGACTGTCTATTGTTGTTAGTACCTCATCTGTGTTCTTTGTTTAAAACAAGTCTCTCTACTAAATGAGTCATCGTGGTTCAATGCGACTAACCTGTGTAAATAAAGGTTGAATGAATGAGTACTGTAATGTAAAAGTGAAAACAGAGCAACAGGTTAAATGACAGTGTTTTCATAATTTTCTATAACATTTTAAAGACTGCAGCTGGTTTAAGATGGCAGCTCTTTTTGTATGAAGGGATCTGATTGTTTAAATGAGCTGAAGAATCGAGTTTAAATGGACCCACTTTCAAAAGTAATTTCTACCATCTTAAAACAACTCGTATTTTTTAATTTCATATTATTTCATGCAAATAATATTATTTCAACCTTTATACCACCACCGTTTTCACATCACACAGTGGTTTTATCAGAAAGTTGTTTAAATTCCTAGTGAAGAGCCATCTGGATGCCATAAAATTGCTACAACGGACTTCCCTCGCTGCCATTTGCTCTTGCCAATAGCTACAGAATTCCAAGTAAACAGCTGTGTACATCAAAAAGGACAGCCGTGTAAGGGTTAATAAAAGAATATTTGCATGAGCACCCATGAAGGTTTGGAGATGATAACTTTTTTTCAGATGGCATCAATCCACTTTGGTCTTAGCAGCATTTGGTCTAGCTGTTGGTTTCTGTCCTGTTGGATCAGTGTCCTCACAATGAGCTCATTGTTGAACTATCTGCTGCAGGTTAGGTTCACAACATTTCTAATTTTTCCAAGCAAACATAGTTCCAAACGGCCAAACTGTACCTTTAATAAAACAGAAAATACCCCATATTTTATGGCTAAAGAATGCACCACATAACATGAATAACTGTATAGTGTCTTTGAAAATAAATGCCAGTGAATGGGCTACATGTTCTCAGAGAGATAAGGATGAAAAGGTGGATGCTGTGCACACGTGCTCACACATTGTCTTGTCAAACGTGGCATTAAAACATGCAGTCAGTTCTGCCATGAAACAGAGCTATTAGCATCACATTGAAGAGATAATGAAGGGGTTATTTCCTCCATCATTGCTCTTTTACTTGTACTTTTTTTTTGTCTTTTCTGTAACTATTTCCTGTTTACCCCCAGTTGAAACACGTGTACATGTTATAATAACGGCACCCATTTTACTTCAGTATTCAATATCTTTATATTTATTGTGTTTGCATGCTTTCCCTCTACGTTTCCCTTTAAAACGTTTGCCTCGCTTACATGATGCAAATACACGACCTCATAGTCTCTGTTTCTCCTTCTCTCTCTGCAGATGCTCTCAGAGGAGTCGGTGCGAGCGTGAATATGAGCCGTACCGTTTCGCTGCGTCCCTCAACCAGTGCGTGAAGGCCACCGTCTACCCAGATAGCATTGCGGTGTCGGAGCCGAGCGTTCCCGTAAGTTCGCACACGAACGACTGTACTCACAAGCTTAAGAAAGTAAAACGAAATCTACCACCATGTTTTCTTTAAACGAGCCAACAAAACAACTGATGATTGTGGCTGATGCATAAACATTAGATTGGGGGGGGGGGGGGGGGGGTGAGAGTGCTCCATGTGGGTGTTTCAGGCATACATATGCTCACTTGTTACAGAGCGGTGGAAATGCGTGCCAAAGCATGTTTGTGTAGGAGGGTGTGTAGGTGGTAAAGTTGCGCGGGTGCAGCGGAGTACAGTATCATATTTCCACATGGACTGAGTGTAAACGGGCAGAGATCATCAGTGAACGCAGAGACGGGTTCCCTTCATGTTCAGGAGAACCACTGACACGTACTTCGACTTTACCAACCCACACTGGCTAAAGGTCATCTCATGCTGGCTCAAGGTCATCTTCATGTTTATAAACTTGATTTGCTTACAGTAAGGTTTGGGCTGTAACAAGATGTCAAATTAACGTGGAAAGCTCTCTTCCAGAGAGGTGGTGTTAAAGCTTTTCAAGAGATTTGTTGAAACTTTAATCCAAACTGACAAAGTGCTCGTGATGCCCTGGCAACTCCAGGGTCTTGCACGATGACGCACGTTCACCACAGCCGGGGTGTATTTTGGACATCTGACGTCTCTCACCCTGACAACCCCTTTCTCTGTTTCAAGTGTCGTGATGCTGATCTGGACTTTGTTCTTTGCTCCAGGTTGTCACACACTACCTGTTTGTGTGTTCACACAAAATGGGACAAGATTTAACCAAACATGGGTTTAAATATGCAAATATGACATATACTTGAATAAAAACTAATCACAGAGTTTCTGTATCCAAGAGCAACAAAGGATGTTGTCAAAAGATTGCTATAAATATGTGCACTGTTAAACTCCACTGTGGCGCACATTTATTCCTATGGCTGGAAGTGGGAGCATGCTCAATAGAAAAACATTTATCAGATCCCACTTCTACACATTTCTTTTATTGTTTGCATAAAACTCCTTAAGGTCTTCAGATCTTTTGAACTGAGGTTCTGTGGATTGGTTGTGAACAATGAATAGCCTACCTGCTGCAGATAGTGTTTTGATCAACCTAACTGATGTTTATGTCTGACCATTAGTTTGTCGAGCTGATAGCTCGTCCTAATAAAATGGATTTTTGTCTTCAACTAAAACAACAAGCACAGTTATTTCACAACAGTTTTTATACTTTGTATTTTCATCATGTGTATTTCGGTGGAACTATTATTTATTTCCTGCTGGAAATTTCCCTGCCTGCACCAGATGTTCCCCAGCCAGCTGCTGCTTGTTGCACTTGCAAAGAACAAGAGTTTTATGTACAGTAATTAATAATAAAGTACAAAAACACACAGCAGTGAAAAGTGGAGGTAGACCAGATAATCAGCCAATATTGGACACTTTTTTAAAAAACAGCAATTGTTCATGCCTTTAAATACTTAATTAATTACTAAGTATAAAAATAAAAATGCACCAGCAGCTGCTTCAGCCATTTAACTGCAACTCACTGTTTAGTGCTTTATTTAATTGTTAACACATCTATAAGTCATTTTAAGTGTTAACACTTCTATAAACCATTTTTTTAATTGTTCAAGTTCTTTAAAGGGTTGTTAAATACAAATTTATATAAGTTGGGCCATTATGTTTGTATTTTGTAAAATGGAAAATAAATATTGACCAAAATTTAAAATAAATTGGAATTATATTTTGGCCATCAGATGCCTTGATTTCTAACAATTGGTGTCCATCCATCCATCCATCCATCCATTCATCCATCATCCATCCATCCATCCATCCATCCATCCATCCATTCATCCATCCACCCATCCATCCATCCATCCATCATCTGCCTATCAATCCATCTGTCTAAATCCATCTGTCCATCCATCCATCTGTCCATCCATCCATCTGTCCATCCGTCCATCCATCCATCCATCCATCCATCCATCCGTCTGTCCATCCATCCATCCATCCATCCATCCATCCATCTGTCTATCCATCCATCTGTCTATCCATCCATCCAGTCCATAACAGGGACACAGAGACAAACAAGACAAACAACCATTCAGCTAAAACAAACAAACAAACAAACAAACTCATATCAGTCTAGCTCTAGTGTGATGGTTGTTTAAAATGCTTTTTGCATAAACCTCTATTCTTGTCCTGATGTTTTTTATGTTAAATATTTAAAATCATTTCTTAATATTTGTCATCTGTGTGGTTTTCCTTTCATGTTCAGTTTGTTTCAGTTTGTTCATGCCCATTCTGCTCATCAGCTGCACCAGAACCCTCTCTGCCATCACCTCTCCAGCATCTTTATATTTAAATATTTAAATTTTCCTGCTTCCTGGTCATTGTGTGCTCACAGTTATTGTAATGCTCTTCTGCAGTTTTTTTTTTTTTTACTGCCTTATTAACTTGTTTCGTTTTTTTGTCTAAAGTTTTCATTTAACGTGTTATGGTCCATGTTATGTTCTGAATCAGCACATTGGGTCCTCCATACTAGAACCTCAAAACTTTAACATTTTGATAGAATGGAGATTTTAAAATGGGAACGATCTACTTTGATCTTGGCCTCAGGCGGACTCATCAGTCCAGCCAGAATCAAACTCTACTTCTCCAAACTGAGGTTGTTTAATGAGCTGCTTACAATGGGAATATATTATTATTTAAAACAGTTTTACAGAACCTCACTTCAACATGTCTGAACTATACCTTTAATGTTGGGTGTCCTGTCGGCGGGGCATGGCCTGGGCCGGGTCTGGGGTATTGGCTCTTCTCCGCTCAAGAATGAATGGGTTTACCTCCTGGGTTTGGGCATGGGCTGCCCCCTGTAGAGGGCGGGTACATGTCTTGGACCTGGGGGGTATAGAGTGCGTATCGGGAATAAGAATGAAATGTATCGTTATTGTATGTCTTTGAGTGAGTGAATGTGAGATTGAGGTTGGGATTGTGTGCTTGTGTCTGTGTATGAATGGGTATTTGTTAGGCCGAGACTCGGACTGCCCCCTCTTTGATACAACTGGGGGTGCTTGGCATCGCGCCCCTATCACGCAGCCCCCTGGTGGGGTGTGCCCTTGCCTACCGGCGCGCATGGGGCCCTTGGTGTCGGGGGCTGGGCGCTTGGGCGTGTGTCGGCTCGGCCTGGTGTCTGCCTGGTGGGGCTCGGGTCCTCTGGCCCTGTCGGGCCTTGGCCTGGGTGGTGTGAGTCCTCGGTGCCCGGGCCTCAGTGCCTGGACCTGGACCTACATCGGTGCGGCGGGTGCCAACGGAGGCCTATGAGTTTGTCGCTGTTGGCCCCGGGGGGTCACTGTATGTGGTCGCTGGTGGGGATCTTCCTCTGGGGGGTGGGTGAGTGGTTCGTCCTGTGTGGGTGGCTCTGGGGGCTCCGCGGTCGGGGTCCCTCCTGGGGTCTTGGGCTCTGGTCCCCCCTTTTTCGTCTGCCTCTGGTCTTGGGGGTCGGGTCTCTGCTGCTTCACAGTTACTAATAAATGTTCTATTAGAGAAGCCTTATACACTTATGCATGCTCACAACCACACACAATTATAAGCAAGAGTTCTTATGTAGGCTTTATATGTAGATATATAGATATGTATGTGAGTGTATATTCATGTGTATGTATGTATGTATGTATGTATATAGGCGTAGGTATGGGTATATATATTTATGGAAACTTACTGCAAAGCCATGAATATTTTAAGTTCTTTATACATATGTATTTTGTTGCTGTGTTTTGTCATGTTCTTTGCAGGTGAACAGACAGTGGCCGGGTGTTTTGCCGTGTGCTCTCTTTGTGTATATCTCTTATATTTTGGAGTCTTACTTTGTCTTTTCTTTCTTTCTATCCTATAAAAAATAAAAAAAAAAACTACTCTAGATAGTCACTATAATAAATATTTCATAATAATGGCGTGGAGAGGATGGCTGTAAGGGGAGAAGGGAGGCCATCTAGAAAAAAAACAAAAAAAAAACAGTTTACAGAACCTCACTTCAACATGTCTGAACTATACCTTTAATGTTGGAAAATTGTATAAAACAAATGAAGTGATCAGTGGCTTTTTACATTTGTGCTGATCAAACAAAGATCTGAACGTATCAGTCGGTGCGCCTCAGACACTGATTGCACATTTGTGTGTCACCGCACACAGATGGTACACACTCGTCACAAAAAACTTTTCAACAGCACGAGCTGCTTGATTGGTTGTCCAAACTTGGCTTGTGATCAGACTGAAAACTCATACTGCCTAATGTTTATTATATCCCTTTAACACCAGAGTGACTTTATTCACTATGTTGTCCAACAAAATATGGCTGCATTTAATTCAAGCACTCAGTTTAATTAGGAGTTCAGGGTTGAGGCGTCTAACGAAACAGCTCCTATTGTCTAACTCATATCTGTGAGAGAGTAGCTGCGTAGAATCAGTGTTAGTCTCTTCAGCCAGAGAGGCCGATGCCAGCGGTGAGTGGCTGTCACTGTTACACCGACGCCCTAAACGCTTTGGCATGCTGCTCTTGGCTGGTGATCACAGCGTAACATATGGAAATTTAAAGTCAATCATATATTTTTTAAAACCAGCTGTCGAATAAAAATAAAACCCAAGTTTAATGTTTAACATCATGGACAGTGTGAGGCAGATGCACTGACTGGTAACCCTGTTTTTGTCTTAATCAGATGCAGGCTTTGACTCACCTCCATTTCTATATGAAAACAGATCTGAATATGGGATTCTCATCTCTGCATGTTCAAACATCATGTCCACACACATGATGCTCATTGACCTCAGGCATTAGAGTTGAGAACAAGTGGTGTGGCGTGTTCACCACTAACATGCATCACATACTAAATGAACGCCGAAGTGTAAAGAGAAAAGGTGAGGCTAAGGCACTAAACGTTAAACACATGTTTACTGGTGTAACGACATAGAGACAGTAAAGTTTGGTAGAATGCTCTGTAACTGTAACAAACAGCCTCTGACTAGTAATGATACTGTGGAGACAGCAGGATGTTTAGAGCCATGCAGGCTCCGCGCACATCATGTGGATTAATATTAAGTCAATTAAATAAATCCACTGACCAACATGCCAAACACCGTGCACTGTGCCAGCCTGCAGTCTCTCCCCAGCCGTGCTGTTCATCAGGCTGAACGAGTCGTGTGTTGAACAACGCCACCTCGCCACGATGCTGGTTAGTCGCGTTTGAACAACAGTTTGTACATCGACTGAAAATCGTTACTAAAAACGTAAATATATTTACCCTGTGTTATATTTTTTTCAAGGTGTTGGCAGTCAGTAGCTCCAAAGACATTTTTAAAAGGCTTTCACTTCAAATTGCACCCCTCGCTATGTTGCTCTTTAATGACGGCCACAGCTCGGGGTACAGGTCCAACAAGACCGCCAGTGAAAAATTAAAGTGGCTGATTAGCCGGTGGTCATTCTGAGCCAGGAAATCTTCTTGGTCTCTAAATGCACATTGTCCAGTGGTTGCAATAATAATAATCTTTCAATAATACTGTCACCAAAGAACAGAAAAATGTAGAAACATATGTCGTGGGGTTGGTGTGAAGGTGTGATGCCATTATTTATACGTCTGAACGTTTGTGTGGAAAAGAAACAATTCAACATTTTTGGGTGTACACGTTCTTTGTACATGAGGCCTCATGTCCAGAGCACTGTGATAATGTTCTGTTGTGTTCATTTATCATTTCTTTTATTATGATTTTACTTTGTTAGCCCAAGTTGAAAGCCTTTTGAAACTCAACAACAGTAAAACATTATTTACATGATGTTTGATGCGTTCAGCTTTTTTCACCTCACTGTCCACTGTGCAAAGTTCAGTTCATCACATGCAAGCTATTAATCTTGTCTTTCATGTCAGTGGTGGCAACAGAGCTATCCCACCTCACCATTCTCAGAGCTCATTCATGCAGTTTGCAAATTTCAGAGGGCCAGACAGCCGTCACCATGGCAACGCAGCCTCCTCATGTGGGTACCAGGACAGATAGAGAAACACGGGAGGGGGGGTCAAATTACCCTTGCTAAAAACTGCCACCAATTACACTGGTTGCTGCCAAGCTGCAAAATCACGCACCAGCACCATCATCTTCATCATCATCATCATCATTATCGGGGAAGACAGAACAAAAAATAAACTGCTTTACACTCAGACGTGTTATTTTACATTTCATCCATACAGTGTGTGTGTGGTGTGTGTGTGTGTGTGTGTGTGTGTGTGTGTGTGTAAGCTAGATTTTGACTGTTTATTTGTATACACGTGTCTGCCGATGATGAGAGCTAATTAATGTGAGAGGTTACTCTGGAACTTCTAAACTGAACAAAAGACATTGATTGCTGTGATTGCTGTAATCAAGGATCTCTCTGGCACCTTGGAGTGAAGCAACACAAACATGGGGAAAGTAAACCAGGGGAAGACAAGAGGTCCTCAGCAGAAAAAGAGAAATCATCCCTCCTCTCGACGGGTGTCAGAGAAAGGCGGCTAACGAGGGAGGCAGCGTAGTCCGCAGCCGAGACGGTGGCGTCTCATGAAAGACCTGCAGTTAAGCCTCTCAGCTGCCTCGCCTGTCTCTGCAGCCTCGTGGCGTTTAGCAGGAGGCAGATAAAACAAAGAAAAACTTCAAACGGCGTGGCTCGAAAATAACAGCTAATGGAACAAGGCTGTGAAATGCCATGGAGATAATTATCCAGACTGGAGAGCTGGATCACGCACACCCTGAGCAGAACACATTTGTTTTAGACAGAGTGGCTGAACAGTCCAGCTCCAGTGCCGCTGCTCCCCAGAGGATGAATCCAGCTTTTACATGTGCATAGTATATTGCATATGCTCTGGAAATATTGTTTTTATGTCTTGCACCTGCCCTTCCTTGTAATTTCAAAGGCAGTGTTTATAAAAATATGAAAATTTGCTCTATCTACCTGACTATTATTACTACAATTTTCTTGTTGCATTCTGCATATCTGGTCATGATTTTTCTATATGGCTCTGAAATTACAACTTCCAAGGGTAAGTGTAAGTATAGAGTATAAATTCAGTCCTATTTCTCTCATTGGTTGGCTTTAAAATCACAGAAACAATTCTTGGCAAAGCAGAGTGGCAGCTTTGCCAGCAGCAGTGTGTTATTTTCTTCCTTCTGTTTGGTGCTCAATGTTTTTTATTTATTTATTTCTGCTCAGACTTCCCCAAAGATTAAATGTTAATATTAGTTTTTGTTGCGCAAAGTAATTTTTACCTGTTCCTGTGATAAATAAAGGCATGTGCCAGTGCCAGAAAATAAGATTTTATTGAATAAATACTGACCCATGCCCAAAGTTTTGGTGTTAATATTATCTGAATGTCCCGTGTGCAGCTGCTGGTGAAGGTGACGGATGTCCCAGACCTTTCTGCAGGAATAACCTGCTCCTTTGGTAACTTGACGGAGGGTGAAGGTCAAGTAAACGGCAACCAAATCCTCTGCGTGTCTCCGGCTGCAAAGGATGTCCCCATCATCCCCACTGACCAAGGTAGATGCACTTTAATTGTCTTTTCTTTTTAGTAAACTGGAGTTACTTGCTTCTCTGTCTCAAACAAAAGGGAGCTGGTACTTGCTGGTGTCTATGGTATTTCCCATCTCATAGTTATAATTCCAATCTGAAAAAAATAGAGATCAACTGAGCATCTCTAACTCATTGTTGAACCAGTGACAGCCCACAGCAGCTGCAGGTGTGCAGATGCATCTAAACATCACATTTCCACCCTTATCTACCCAAATCCTTCCTCCATTTTTGCTATATCTGAAATAACCCATCAGTTGTCATAAAGTTGTGTTTATTATGATCATGACAATTACATTTCACCAGTGGCACAACTTTTGTACGACTCCACTTTCTCCCTGTTTTCCATTTGTTTTTCACTGACTTCACCATTGATCTGCTCTCTCACACACACCCACATCCTTGCTGATCCAATTCTCCCTTTTAAACCAGTATCTGTCGGTCGAACAGGCTCCCATGGATTCAGGGTGAGCAGTTTTGTTGTGAAGTGTGCTACAAACAGGACCGGGCTGCATTAGACCTGATGGAGGGTCAGACAGAGGTGTGCCGACCCATGGAGTTCCACGTCACTTTGGTTAGATGTGGCTGGTAGGGGACGCGCAGGCATCGAGGTTCAAGCAGCGTTCAAATAAACATGGATGATGGAGAAGTTGGGCTAATGGATGTGTCCGTACATATCACCAACACGTGTAATGTTTCTGCCTTTACTTTTGATAGATACTTGTTTTAAACAGAGTTCCCAATATTAAAAGGACAATTTATTCCAAAATCCCCCAAAATGAATAATGCTAATACTTTCAATTCTACTTATGTGAATCTTTCAAACTTACTGGTAACATGCTAAATAATTGAAACAGACATTTCCATTAGCTTTGGCATGTTATTTGTGGGCAGTACACTGTATCTGATTACCATCTGCCTTTTGACTCCTAATGTCTCCTTTTCTCAAGCTAAGATGTCTGCATGGAGACAAACTGAACACTGAATAATATATCATGCACAGTGTGTGGAAACCAGTGTGTATTTTAGATGGTTTGGTAATCCCGCCTTGAGTAAATGACAGCCCTGTTTGCTTCGAGCTCACAGAGAGGGTGGAGCATCAGGCGCTAATATAAATGTTCTCCCTCAGGTAAATGTCAGCCAATCCTCACGCTAAGCCTTTCCCCATCATCCACATCTACTCATTCATTCTATTCATCAGCTGTTTGCCCCTCCATCTATTCCCCTGAGGCCACTTCCCGCTGACCTCCCTGCCATCAACCTGCCTTCTTCTGGCTCTTTAGCAAGTCTTTCTTGACAATATTATTTGTGCATAGATGGCGCTCTGAGAAAAAATTTGATGAAAGGAAATGAGCAAAAACTGAAACAATAAGGTGTAAAAAATGTCAAAAAATAACAATAACAGCAGAAATTGTAATAAAAGTATACAGTGGAAGGAGAGTTCAGAATAACACTCAGTGAACACTGAATAGTGAAAAAACTGGCACCCTTTCCCACTAAGATGAATGTTCCTGAAAGAGGTTCTGTGCAGACAAAGAGAGTACCTTCATGTCTGTTCCCTGGAAGATCAGTGTGATGAAACTCTGTCCTGCTATTTCAACTAGTAAGAAGAAAACATCAATTTACAAAACGAAGAGCAGAACTGAAAGGGACAGTGGATTGATTGTCTGATTAAAAAAAACAATTCAGTTTATTAATATAACGCCAACACAACAGAAGTAGGATCAAGGCACTGAACAGAAACATTCATATACTGTACATAAAAAAGCTAATTAGTAAAGTTCTCAATCTAAGAAAGCAGCATATTGTGTTGAACCTTCACTTTGTCACAGTCTCCCATCCTGAGCAAGCACAAAGGAGACAGTGGAAAGGAAAAACTCCCTTTTAACAGGAAGAAACCTTCAGCAGAACCGGGCTCAGGACGAGCAGCCATCTGCTTCGGCCGGCTGGGTTTGAGAGGAACAGGAAGGAGGAACAAACAAACAGAATGACAGGTCCAGGTGAACTTTCTATAGGAGGAAAGACAAAAAACATGTTAAGATAGAAATAATTACAAATACAAACAGGTTGAGTAGAACAAGTAAATACAACAGCAGAGTGAGGAAATGTGGTCAGTCTGTCCTCCAGCAGTCTAAGACTATAGCAGCATAACTCATGAATGGCTCAGGAAACCCAAGCTAACCCTAACTATAGGATTTAGCAAAAAGGAACGTTTTAAGCCCAGTCTTAAAACTGGACAACGTGTCAGCCTCATGGACAGAAACTGGAAAATGGTTCCACAAGAGAGGAGCCTGATAACTGAAAGATCTTCCTCCCATTCTGCTTTGGAAACTCTAGAACCACAAGTAAACCTGCAGTCTGAGAGCAAAGTGCTCTGTTGGAGAAAATATGGAACAATAGAATCTGTAATATAAGATGGAGCTAGGTTGTTGAGAACTTTGTAGGTTAGAAGTAGGATTTTGAATTCAATTCTGGATTTGACAGGGAGCCAGTGGAGAGAAACTAAAACTGGAGAGATATGATCTCTCCTACTAACTCCAGTTAAATGGTAAATGGTAAATAGACTGTACTTATATAATGCCTTTCTATCTTATTGAGATACTCAAAGCGCTTTACAACAATCTGTGTCCTCATTTACCCATTCATACAGCACTCTACTAGATCTCTACAAAGCTAATTGAACAAATCATTCTAAAGAGACTAATCAGTGATTTATCACATTCATACACCGATAGGACATACATCAGAGGCTATGAGGGGTTCAGTGTCTTGCCCATGGACACTTCGGCATGTGACTGCTGGTGGATTCGAACCCCCAATTCTTGCATTGGCGGACGACTGCTCTAACCACTCAGCCGCAGCCGCTCCTCAAAGTTAAGACTCTGGCAGCAGCATTTTGGATCAACTAAAGACTTTTTGAATATTTTTTGGACGCCCAGATAGTAAACAGTTGCAATAGTCCAGTCTGGACGTGGTTAATTCATGGTCCAGTTTTATTTTTAGACAAGATGTTTTTAATTTTAGTTATATTAGGTGGAAAAAAACGGTTCTGGTAACATTTTTAATGTGGGGGACATGTCCTGATCAAAAATAACACCAAGATTTTTAACATTAGAACTAGAGGTCATATTAATGCCATCCAGAGGAAGAGAAAAACGTCAACATTTATTTCTAAAATCAAAAAAGTCCATGCTCAATAATCCAGGTATACATGACTGTCGACGAGGAAGAGGGCCGGCTCCAGAGGAGGGGGCGTGCCAAAGACACCATCTTAGCACCAACATAACTGGTTTGTTCCACTATGGAGTAAGCTGTTTGGGGAAAGAATCAGTTTTGTGTTGTGTGTTTCCTTGACTGATGATGCTTCTGGATGGAAGGTGAAACGTTTCGGGGAAAAAAAGAAACTGTCCAGATGACCTGACTGAAAATTGTTGGGTTATTTCTAAAATGTCCAGGTCCAAAAACCACAACCTCTGTCTTGTTTGAGTTTAAAGGCAGAAAATTGAGGGTCGTCCAGGTTTTTATGTCTTTAAGACATGACCACATGGCTGGATGACTTAAGTTTGCAAAAATGCATTTGACTGAACCACGAGACTTCAGGAACAGAGAAACAAAATATGAATGTTTACCCATAATGCACAGCTCCATGTTTAAAGACAACCAGACTGCATTTCAGCACAAACACATCATATCAACTTTCAGTCATTGTGGTGGAGGAGTGATGGTTTGGAAATGTTTTGCAGCCACAGGTTCTGGGCACCGTGCAGCCAGTTAGTCGGCCATGAACTCCACTGAAAACCAAAGAACTGCGAAGTGAAATGTGAGTCTGTCTGAACGAGAGCTGGAGCCTGGACTGAACTGGGTCATGACAAAACAGAACAATAATACCAAACTCATAAACAAACGTACAACAGAAAGAGCTGGGAAAAAGAATCAAGATATTGCAAAAGTCCAGTCAATATCCAGACCTTGATCTGACTGAAATATTGAGGCAGAACTTTGAGAGCTGTGCAGAAATGAATCTTTACAAATATAAACTGAAGCAGTGTTGTAAAAACAGCGTGTGAGAGAGTGATGAAGCCCCACAGAAAACAACCATTGAGAGTTATTGCTGCTAAAGGTTTGTCTGCAACCACCAAATCATGGGGTGGAGTTCATTTTTCATACACACTTTTCTTTTTGTGGGTTTATTGTTGTTTAATAAATAAAGGCATTGTGAAATCTGCTGTGTTTTTGTTCACATAAAGTTTAATATGAACTATTGTAGAACCTAAGAAAGTCCAGACTTTTATTTATATGCCCAAATACGTAAAATCTTAAAACTAAAAGTGTGACCTTTCTTTTATCCATGACTGTATTCACACTCAGAGAAATGTATTTTACTTCTCATTCTTCAGCAAAGCAGCTGACACTGATTGAAGTATTTCTGTTCAGGAAGTCGTTTAAAGGTATCGACTGTGATGTGACAACTTTATTGTTTGATGTCTCGTCTCCTCTCTTTTAGACTGGTCAGGTGTTGAGCTGAGGCTCAATTCTAAGGAAACTGGTCAGATGCTCATCAGCACAGAGATCAAGTTTTACAACTGCAGTGTCCACCAGCTGTGAGTACCTCCCTCTGTCTGAGTCCATCCAATGCCCTCCCAAAATCAGTGCCACCAAAAGCCACCAAATCAATTTTCCTCTTTCTTTGTTTCAATCAGTCCTCACGCTGCTGATCTAAATATACCTTCAGCACAAACTAAAGTCTGACCTCGTGCTGCTGCTTGTCCTGTAATTCCTGCATTGGCACACTAATGAAGCTTCTCAGGCGTGCTGGTCTACAGAACTCTCAGCGTAACAAGTCCATTTTCTCATCACGTCTGTTTGTGATTGATTGATGCTGAGTTGAATCCCTGGTTTAGAGATCTTTAGTTGTTTATTTGTTTGCACTGTGGCAGATTCTGTTTGTGTAAGACCTCACTGACTTGCAGATATGTGGGAATGGTAAGAAGAGGCAGTGCAGAGAAGCTAATCCAGCCGTGACACTAGCAGAGAATGATTGCACAGACCCCTCAACAATAAAACTAAAAACTGTAGCCACTGGGCAACGTTACTCTAAATCTTTCTCTTCTCTTGTTTCTTTTTCTGCTGTTCAGACAACTCCAAAAATTACCAGCTCTCGCACATCAGCTCAGTTAAACCGGGATGACAAGCATGCTCGTGCACACACTCGTGCACACTCAAACACATGGACAGATCTGTGCGCTGTGCTCTTCCTTGCATGCTGTGATGCCAACTCCTGCTCTGCTTCCATTGGTCTTACACAAATAGCCTGCACTCAGTCCGCCTGAAGGTGATCCAGTCCTCTCCTTCTGAGTTCGTCTGCCTGCCAGAGGTCCTTCCCATGCTTTTGCTCCAATAAAGATTTCACAGAAAAGCAAGTCTGTACAAACTCGACCTTATATCGAGCGTAAGAGAAAGAAAGAAACAGGCTAAAACACCTTCGCTGAACAACTGTTCATAAATACAAGAAGGAAAAGGCCATTACAATCTGATTAAAAGGAGCCCTGTGTTATTGCAATAAGCAGGAAGTACCATTTATTTACCGATAGCTTTATATGTTTATTCTGAGACAATATTAAAAAATACTCAACATTTTCTCAGTAACACTTGATTTAAATCACATAACATAGACATGACGTCTACGGATGATTTATTGTTGGAGAAAAATATCCTCTTTTCATCTTACTTACTCAGAGAAGCCACACTTGACGACAGGAGAAGATTTTTAACTGGTTTTACTTGCAAGGGCAGGTTTTCACCACAGGTTACACAGATGTACAGAAGTTTTACATCATGGAGCCCAGTCAGGAGAATCTGCCACAGACAGTGTGCAAAGTTTGTTTTTATAAACTTATCAGCTCACAGATGTCCTTGGCCCCACAGCTGCACATGCAGGATCAAACCAGCTCCTCGTCCAGCTCTCTGAGGGAGAAAAGGACTGTCTGCTAACTCAAACACATGGTTCATGGGCAATGAACATTCTCAGACATAGTAGTTAAAAATATTTATAAACCTTGACCAAAATTCCCTGAAACTTGTTGCAGGAATTAAAACATTTTGTTCTTCGTGTGGTCAAATGATCAGTACTCCTTGGCTTTATTTGATATGATGATGTAAAAGTAAGTCCCAAACTATTAAAAATCTAAACAGAAGAAAGTTTATGCGCATTGAATTTTTGGTCAGAAGCTGCGTTCAAGATTTCTTAAGAAAAGTTGTAGTTGGAACTCGTGTATCAATAGAGTTTTGTCTCAGTTACATTAAATCTTAAGAACCATTTATTTACCCCAGGTCTTCTGAAAGCAGAACTGTATCTGTTCTAAAACCCACAGTCATTTCACCTGACTGTCAACACAATGGATACCAACATAGCTGTTGGAAGTAGCAGTACAAGGAAAGAGAAAACTCACTCTGTACTTTTTTAATCTATTTACTTTGCACTGATGTGCATCCAGTTGGTAATGTAACACTTTGCAGCCAAGCATAAAACAAAAATATAACAGAGTAATGCCAAGTAATTTGCTTTTGACCATGATTGACACTGCAAGCATCAATACCACTACTTACCAGCCTCCAGCATATTTACTCTAGTTCTAGTTAGCTCACTATGTTAAATACTGTGATATACAGAAACACCTTGTCTCCCCATATATTTGTGTCTTTATTGCTGCTCTCAGCTGATGTCACTTTTACAAAAAATAAACACAAAAAGTACACAGCTGTATACTACTAGTCATCATAAAGACAGTTTCAGTATTAGATTGGGTCCTGTAGCTTTGACGTGTGTGTTAAATTGTAGCATTCCCCAAAGCCACATGTAATCCACATTGAGTTTTAACCACGATTGTGGCAAAGCAGAAGATAAAGACCATAACTGGTTCACTTTCTACAAGTTTACATGCCGCAGTGTTTGTTCAGTCATAACGCACCAGTGTAACAGATACAGCTGAATCAGGTTTCTTCATTATGCAGACACAGAAACCTGTTTTGCCTGAAGTTCTCCCCCCCCCCTTTTTAAAGCTTTGCTAATGTTCATCTGTTCTCTTGTCTTGTCTTCTTTAACACCCTCCCTTTGATCAGATGCAATAGTTCGGCTGCAGTGGGTGTTTTTTATTTTTTATTTTATTTTTTTTTAGCTTTTCTCAGCATTAGAATTGCATTGGAAAACTTTTATTTTCAGTCAGCATTGCTCATAGCAACATCAATAATGTCATCAGAATCCTAATGCCAGTTTAGGACAAGACTGGGGAAAATATACTCGTGTAGAAATTTCAAAATTTCATTGTGATCCCCCAAAAGGCAAATAAAAAATATTTTTGTCTGTCAGTTGTGTTAGATAAATATCTCATAACCCCCTTGGTTGAATTTTATCAAAACCTATAGAAACTAGCCTTTAGATATACATATACCACTAAATAACTTTTGGAGTCAACTCAATTCAAGATGGCTGCCATAGCTAAATGATCTTAAAAAACACAAGTAATTATAACAGTCAGTTTGACAGATACTGACCTAAAGTTTGACATTTGGAAGTAGCTAAGACTCCCCTCCAACACATTCTGAGCGCAGTCTGTGTTTAAAACTTTGCCACTATTAATTTGAGTCCACTATGTCTGCCTGTTAGTAAAATATCTTATGAAACACTAGACATATTTTAATTCAGGAGTTTACCCAATGAAGGACGAGTGCAACGATTACCTGATCTTAGACAGCACAAAACATTTATCCATCTGCTTCTTCCTTCTTGGGTCACGGGGGTCACTGGTGCCCATATCCAGCAGTCACTGTGTGAGAGACAGGTGGACAGGTCTCCAGTCCATCACAGGGACACACAGTCAAATGAGACAAACAACCATTCACTCTCTCACTCACACCTAGGGACAATTTAGAGTTACCAATCAGCCTAACATGCATGTTTTTGATCTGTGGGAGGAGACCGGAGTACCCGGAGAAAACCCACGCATGCACAGAGATAACATACAAATTCTACCCAGAATGGCCCCCGGACCGGGATTTGATCCAGCAACCTTCTCACTGAGAGGCAACAGCTCTACTAACCGATCCACTGTACAGCCAATAATGTTTAAAACAGACAATTTGAAGATCATGAGCTAACGTCTGGTGTGGTAGTAGCTGAGAGTGATCTTGAACACACACTCAGAGTTCTAACAGGTTATATGAGATTTTGTATTATCGTGTAAGATCCCGCTATTATTTTCAAGATTTGACCCAAATAATTAGATTTTTATCTCTCAACATCGCATGATTTTAGTTCAGACCTCTGGCTCTAAACCCAGTGGGTGGTTTGCAATGAATGCTTGGTTTTCAGTTTAAGAATGTCAGAGTCAGAGTCAGAGTCAGAGTTTCTTTATTGTCATTCGCACCTCATGTGGTACATGTGGTGGAGCGAAATTATGTACACAAGGTCCCAGTTACATCCAACAATAAAATGTCTAAGAAAAACAGTAATCAATGTGTTGAGTAATTCTTCTCAGAATTCTGTAGTTTTGTTTCGTGGTTAGCACCTTTGACTTTGTCTACAAATGTAGGATTTGCAGTAGAGCTTTACCCAGTGATATCTAAACTTTATTAAAGACTTTGACCACTGCTTTAGTCTTGTGACGTATTGTATCCCTTAGTGATCTTACAAAAAATACTCACCTGCCTATGTGCATATGATTTAAGATCTGGTAATGGCAACACTGCTCCATTAAAACATGGCTAATGGTAGAGCTGGATCAATCTGTGCTAGAGTTTGATTTATCCTCATTAGTGAAACTTTGCCACACCATCTCTCTCTGTTTTCTTTCTTTGATTATGGTCACAAGAGCTAACATTCAATCTCCTTTGCACACCTGATGTGCAAAACAAATGCATGGCAGCAGAAAATATATGCAAAGGGAACACGGTCCAGCAGCTATCGGGTACTGTGCCAGCCACAAGGGTGCAACAACAGCAGGGGCCTTCTTGTGATCTGAGCTTGTTTCCTTTGTGGCACTCCCCACCCCCCATTTTGGCAAAGTTGCTGCCCCTTCCTGACTTGTTCACTGCTCACACATTGTGTGTTCCTGTGTGTGTGTGTTTGTTTTCCTGCAGGTGTCTGTCATGTGTGAACAGTGCCTTCCGCTGCCACTGGTGCAAGTACCGCAACTTGTGTACCCATGACCCCTCCAGCTGCTCCTTCCAGGAGGGACGAGTCAACACCTCTGAGGTTTGCTGGGACACCCGGACACTCACAAACAATTCTAACCTGTCTTTTCCTCTTTTTCCTTTATCTGGCCCTCACATGCACTTGCTCTCTCAGTTTCCTTCTTGCTTCGTGTTGCAGCTCCATGTCAATCTCAGGACATGTCTTCAGAAAGACAGCCTTCAAATCTCTTCTGTTTTCCAAACATTGTATCTTTTTCAAGGCTCTTGTTCTTAGCAGTAGCAATTAGCAGTCTATTACCCCTGGAGTTATTGAGCTTAGGAAGTCTTAAGTCACACGATTACTCCGACCATACCAGTCAGTGGGGTTAGGCAGGTTGAAACATGCCTGTGAGTCTTCCTGTGTTATAAACCCACTCAGATGTTTGATTGTTGGTTTGTTTATTTGATCTGAAAATGACTAAAACTCCTGTTTAGCTGTGCTCACATTGCAACTTACTTAGTCCTTTCATTCTTTTATTAATCTTTCTAACTTAGCATTGAGGTGCTTCTCTCCTTGCTGGTGACCTTGGCACCAGTATGCATTTTCATTTTTCTGTTTTGTTGACCCTCCTGCTCTCCCTGACTCGTGCTTGCTCCCTCCAGGACTGTCCCCAGCTGGTGCCCTCGGAGGAGATTCTGATTCCAGCAGGGGAGGTGAAGCCAATAACTCTGAAGGCCAAGAACCTGCCACAGCCTCAGTCTGGCCAGCGAGGCTATGAATGTGTCCTGCACATCCAGGGCGTCAGCCATCGAGTTACTGCTCTTCGCTTCAACAGCTCTAGCGTTCAGTGCCAGAACAGCTCGGTAGGTTGGGTAACGGTTGCTCAAGCTCAGCCAAGCTGATTGTAATTGGCTGTGTTTAGTGTTTGATTTAGCGTGTAGGGATTTGCATTATTTGTTTCTGAGTACATTGTAAACCAACTATACAGAAACAAGTAATTACATTAGTCTTTTTTTGTCTTAAATACCTTGCCTCATGTCATATCACATATCATATATGTCCAGTCATATTGCTTAATTTATGTTATATCTCATGTATATGATATATGTCTTATATTTCAGAACACTTCATACTATATTATATAAAATTTGATATTGAATCTCACATCATATCTCATATACTGTATTTGATCCTGTTGTATAATTATGAGTTGTGTTGTACCACATTGTCAGAATGCTTTCAAGCACTTCCCCACCCCCAAATTAAAAAAATATATATTTTAAATGGCTCACTTAATAATTTGTAGATGTAAAAGATTGAATTAGTCTCTGTCTCTGTCCAGCCTCCAGACATTTTTTTGTTAAGAATCGTGTAAAGCTAACACAAAATGCATATTTTCTATGTGTTTGTGTCTCTGCGTTTAATTATCATTTAATCAGTAGATGTATTATGCAACCTAGATAATTACAATGGAGGGGACTGTAACAGAACCTGCCCTCCAGTCAAGCATTTACTATATGCTGCTGTGTACTCCCTGAGAAACATACACACACACACTGATTAAAAGAATTAGGGGGCAATGGAGGCAGTTTGGGCTTGTTGTGTAAAGACCAGAAAGGAAAGTCATTTCTTGTGTTTTTTCTCGGTGTCAGCTCAAACACTGAGATGATGTAAGAGCATCGTAACAGAGGAAGGACATGTTGCTGCAGCTACTTCACAAAGCCTCATGGGGATTAAAATCCCCAAAGCTTCCACCAAAATTCTCCTGTTTTGTTTCTTTTCCACATTCATCCTCATATATGTCGTCTCTTTCTCTCCCTGCCTCGCTGCCCTTGGCCTTCAGTATCTGTATGAGGGAATGAGGATCAGTGAGCTGCCTGTGGATTTCTCAGTGGTGTGGAACGGCAACTTCATTATTGATAACCCGGAGAATATACAAGGTAACATAAGATGTTTCCTAGCAAACAGAAAGAAGGTGAGCCACTGTAGCTCACTCAATCACTTTTATGATCTTTCTTTTTGTTTCTTTTTTCAACACAGTGTGGGCAGATATGTGTAATTATTTACAATGTGCTTTGTGGTGTCTTGAAAAATCTTCTAAAATCATTATTATCAGGTGTTCTGTCACTGATGCTGGTTTTGTATCCCACAGTGCACCTGTACAAGTGTGCAGCGCAGCGCGATAGCTGTGGCATGTGTCTGAAGGCAGACAGGAAGTTTCAGTGTGGCTGGTGCAGCGGGGAGGGAAGGTGCACGCTGCGGCACCACTGCCCTCCCATCAGCCCTTACACCACCCGCTGGCTGAACCTGTCCAGCAAAAACGTGAAGTGTACCAACCCACGCATCACTGAGGTTTGTACTCATCATGAACTATCCAGCTGCAGTCAGTATGTGCTGATGAATGCACGAAAACTTTGGTCCTTGTCTCAATGTTTCAGAGAAGATCACGAGGCTGCAAGCTAACTGTGTGGGACTAAATCAGCTTGGGACATTTTCACTGATCACACTATATTATACTGGAGTTAAATATAAGCTTTCTGTTCTCTAAAGCACATTATGGCCGTGAAAGGGCAACGACAATTGATTCTGGTGTCTTTTTTAATGAAACGGTACCAAAGTTGAACTCATAAAAGTAAATTGTAATTCTGGAGAGACACGTTGGACTATTGACCTCTAAAATGTCTGATTTACATTCTGGGCTATGAAGAGAAGCAGCTAGTTAATATTTCTCTTGCTTTGTCCTGACCCAGGAAGAATAAGAATAAAGCTGCGCAGAGCTCACCACACCTACCTCTAAGATCTTTAAATGTTTAGTCAAAATTGTATCTTTTTTCTGTCCAATTAGAAGAAAAATATGCATAGAATTGCTTTTGTAGCTGAATGTGTCATGCTCACAGTTGACTTCACCTTCAGGGTTCCTGCTGGGGCAAAGACACTGGTGTGACTGCACACGCACACACACACACACACACACACACACACACACACACACACACACACACAGAGAGATATTCAGTTTTAAAAGGCTGTTGTGTTGACGTTTGCCTCCACTTTGTGCAGTCTGCACAGGTGTCTGCTCGTAGTTTTAGTGTCTTTTGTCTTTACACCAGGTTATATCAGAACTTGGAAAGTAACTTCGGCATCAGCAAATGTAAAAACTTTATTTATTCAGATTGCATCCTGTCAACAAATGTACAGTAGTTTTTCCAGTATCTTCATTTTAAGCACATGTATGAGTGATCCGTCCACTGGTCTCTGTGCAACCCCACCCAGTGGATAGATATCCTCCACCTGGGCAACACCTGGGTCATGACCTGGAAGTGCTTAACTGTTTTCCCTAATTGAGCCTTTGCTTGTTTAGGCCACACTCTTATCCACCCTGGTGTGTTTTCTGTCACAGAGGAGTCAGGCCAGTGGGGAAACATTTTAATTAGGCTTGGTAACACACCAGTGCTTTGTGGTTAACCCACCAGACCTCGCGGTCTCCACATTGATTCATCTGGTTTCTCCTTCCTCCACCACATACTCAGATCTAACTCTGCCCAATTAAAAACTTAGGTTAACAACACGATTAATTGATTTGCTATAGCATGCCTAGAAAACCCAGAGAAACTGAAGCAAGCTCTAAAAGTTTTGATTTAAAGTTCATTTACTTGTTTTTTCTCTTACATTTCTGGTTTTCAGTTTTGTACACTCGGTCATTTTTCTCCTTCAGATAACTTTGTAAAGCACTTTCCCTGTCTCAACTCAGCAAATTTAGTTCATCTCACTTTTAGTTTATCAGCTAGTTGCACAGATTTATAAGCATGCAGTGGGGCATTCCTCATTCAGCTTTCTGTATTCAGTGGTGGTATGATCATAGCAGGTACAATTATTATTTTACAACGTTAGCCACACACTTGTGAGATGAAAGGAAAAGCAACATTAAAAAAAAAAAAGCTCTGGATGACAAGTCTTGAATTATTGGACCCATTTGTAGTCCAGAGGGCTATTGATTCAGTTTCCAGCCTAGGTGACAAGGTATCACCTTAAGATATTTCCAATAACCATTTCTTCATGAACAAATCTCAAATATTTATAAAGAATTTCAGGCTTAAGTAACACATTGTGACAGGAGCTTAATGACCTGTGCTTACTGAGGGTCAGCGAAGATTTATAAAACTACTATTTATCTGGGGCAAAAATACTTCCACTTATTTACACAAATCTATCTTTGATAGATATTTTATATGTGGGGAGTGGTGGTGCAGAGGTTAGAGAAGATGAGCCTGTCATCGTTAAGTCGCAGGTTCAACTCCCGGACTAACACCATCAAAATGTGGGTGGAAAAGATGAAACACCCACACCTACCTCCACCCTCATTTGCCCCACTCTGGGCATTGAAGCAAGGCCCTTAACCCCCACCATCTGCTTCCAAAAAACAGGTCTCTCCTGAAAATGAGTTCTCGTGACTCAATGAGACTACCTGTATAAATAAAGGTAAATTTAAAAAAATAAATCTGTGTAGAAATCAATGGCAAAGCCTTGCATTCATGTTAGTATTTCACTATGAAAATATAGAAATTCACTTTCAAAGTTAGTTTGGCAAAAATTGATGAAATGTACAGAACTAGTTTTGGGTCAGAGTAGTGGTGTCAGTCGCTCCTTTAAGTTTGGTTCATGGTTATGAAAAGACAGAATTCATGCAGACATGAAAAGGTTTGAAAACGCCTTTTTTGAGATATCTGAAGTCAGAGTTTATTTGTGGCCACAATATGCAAAATTAACCATGCACGTGTGTAAACCTAAAGTTCAGACGCATGCATTTTCTTCTATTCATGGGGTGTAAAGAGAAACTCCCTCTTTTTCTCCAAAGTGTTTCTCATTGATTAGTTTCTTTAAGAAGCAGACACCCCCTGGTGGGCTGAATTTATTAATAAATTTGGTTTTGATTGTGTGTTGCAAAGCCCCCATCATGAGCTGATTTGTATACATACTTGCACATTAGTAGATGTGCCTACCATGAGATAGGCCTTTTGAATAATTAATGTTTCTATTAAGTGCCACGGCACCTCCCACCCTGGGCCATTAATATTGAAGAGATGTAAGCCGAGGCTAACAGCAGAGGGAACAACATCAAATGAAGCTGGGAGTTGGATGGGCATATGAAAGGCATCTCCTCAATGGGCTTTGGCCGTGGTTTCTAGACGAGTTTACGATAAAGTGAAGAGGTTCCCGTGCCTCTGAAGTGACAGGGAATATAAACATTGGTCTGTAGCCCTAGGAAAAGAAAAATAGGTCAAAGTATACATTTTTTTCTCTTACTTTCATTCATGTGTATGCAAAATTATAGTTGGTATTTTGCACACCACAGAGATAATGAGCCTGTCAACCTCAAATCACAACCTCAAGCTAATCAGAGTGCGTCTTCACTGCATGGGTCCTTACCTTCATTACCTCCTCCATCTGTGGAGACACTATATACACCTCTTATCTCACTACGTTTTCCTGGTGTTTTCTCCCCTTTACACACTAACAGTCTCACCCCCATATCTCTTGGCTCACAACAAGACATTTAAGACCCCGTAAAGAATTTAGGATGCAGTTTGTATGAGGACAAGTGACCAGTGGGGTTTTATCAAGCCCATTAAATGCTGCTCACAATTAAATGTGGCATTCTCAAATTAGTCAGAGCCTAGTGCAAAGACAATGAGATTAGCTGGAAGCTTCTAAATTCTGTCAAAGTTTATTTTATTTCCAAAGCTCAATAAACTGTGGCTAGAGTGGGGGGTGGATCAGCTCATGGGTAATATAGGAGAAACTCATAGTGTGGTATTAAACAGGCTTGTCTTTACAAGACTAAACCAAAACTAAAATGCTGATAATTTATATTTTAATGATCGATTAGATGATAATGTATTACTGAATTGTCTTTGGGAATTCGATTGGGTTCGCTTGGAATTTCACTGACATGCCAGGCTAGCACAGCCTGAGGGCAGCTTGGTTGGTGCATTACTCTCTGCTATATATATTGAGTTTAGCCACAGCTGCATCAGCACTTCTTCCCCACAATTACTCCAGCAGAATGTGTCAAGACCACACTGATGGACAACCCCAGGCTATTCAAGTCGGATGACTATTTCTTCCCGTTTCCGTCATGAATTTGTAGCTTCCCAAAAGGCAGCCTCTTTTTTTTAAACTTTCTTTCTTGTGATTAGAAAGTCTTCCTTTTTAATTTAGGCTGTCCTTTGTTAAAGTCTTTCTGCTTCTATTAAAAAAAAAAAACTCTGGAATGTCTAAGAAAATAAGTGGCAAATAATCTGATCCTCTTAACGGAAGAGAAATAGATTATAGCTGGAGAAGGTGCAAGCTGAGGAGAACAGTGTGTAAGGCGGCGGGTTGTTTGCAGGGAATTACCCTCTATTGACAGTGTGACAATGGCATGCAGGCAGCAGCCCTGCTGGTAAAAGGATTACACAGGGAGCATGGAATGGGAGCACTGGGTAGGAACAGGGGGAAATAAGGGCAGCAGAGTGCACATGCATGTCCAACGGGGCTTCCTCTTCCCTCCAAATGTTTGTATGGTGAGACAAACTAGCACTTTGGTGCTTAGAGGAGGACAATGTGTCACTTAGCCTGAGGTAGATGAGATGATGAAAAATTCAGAGAAGAGGATGTTGTAGATTTTCTACATTGCTTAACTCCACTGCATCCCCTCCAGTGTGTAAAGATTGTTGGAATCCAGTTTGAAAGCAATCAAACCACAGTCTGATGTTCAGAAAGGCTCCATTATGGATTCAGCTCTTTTGTGTAAATAAGAGACACTGAGACAAAGAGCAGTGCTTCTCTCACGTGTCCCAGCCTAGAGACATTGGTGGCATGTGCTTTTGAAGTGGTTGATTTTCTGTGATCCTGATGAATCAAGGCTCTGTCTGCCATTGGGGAGCTCAGTCAAATGGGTTTCATGCATGGATTATACTGTCTTCCTGTATTTTTTCCACCATGGGAAGGGCTTCATTTCAGCCTCAAGGGCAGGAAGAGGAGTTCTTTCAAGCTTTTAGCATGTCCATCTGTGGTACAGCGCTGCTGGCCTGTCACCAGACCTACCTCACCTGTCATCCATCCTGGCTTTGGGGACAGAACAGAACAGAGTTCACTTTCCTTCTCTCTGCTTGTCCCATTTCCTCATTTATTTTCATCCAGTCACTATCATTTATTTTCATCCAGTCACTATCTCGTCTGTGTTCTC